ACAGTAAATTACTATATAATATTATTATATAAAGGATTTAAATCTGTTACAATGATCAATTTATGATTCCAAAGGTTTTCCATTACTAATCAGATTAGACTAATATAGGTTATAAATATTCTGTACACATATCTGTTAAATAAAAATAATAAAATAATATTAATACTATTTTTAAATATTAGATTTATTAAGCTTAAATATATCGAAAATCTTATACAATGTATATGGTTTTATAAATGGTGACCCAGAGCTAAATGCGAATATTTATCTGACACTCAGATTACCTCTAATTGTATTGTAGTCTGACACAAATAACCAAACACCAATGTCATCAATCAGTGTACAAAGGGCGTGTACTTATACTGTACCATTTTAACAATATTCACTTCAGTAAATAAAAATTTTATTTAACATTGTAAACATAAGTAAGGATTAGTACAGGTTTGCATAATCATTTGTTTATTACATTTAAGCTGATTATATTAAATGTAATTAATTTATAAAAATAATTAGTTAAAGTAAATGAGATAAAAATAATATATAATTAATATGAGATTATTAAAATTGTCAATACATAATATTAATGAAGATTTNAATGAGTTCTATGACTGACCTATACTCGTGCGGACAGGTATGTGACGAGTCAACTGATCAAAGGCGAGTCGGTGGCGGCCGAGGCCTTCGATACGGTCACCATTTTCTTCAGTGATATCGTCGGCTTCACGGGTCTGTCCGCTCAGAGCACAGCCATGGAAGTGATCGACTTCCTCAACGACCTCTACATCTGCTTCGACTCTATTGTCGGCAATTATGACGTCTATAAGGTTTGCATTTATGTCACATCTCTTGCTTTATCTTAATATTCAGACGAGTTTTGAGAAAAAAGTCTAAAATTATAATAATAGTAAGAAAAAAGTTTTGAATTTGCATATTTTAGTGCTCACAAATATTAAACAAGATCAAATAGTCTAATATACTATGCTAGTCATAAATCTTATCGTTAAGAAATGTAATGATGGCTATAATTTATATAAATACAAATGATTTATAACTGTCCTTGTTAATTGCCCAATATTACATACTAGACCACAATACTTCATTCAACATAAATTCATAACAATATGTAATATAATATTTAAATTGATTGATGGTATGTCTGAGTATTGATGACATGTATGCGCCCACAGGTGGAGACCATCGGTGACTCCTATATGGTGGCATCGGGTCTGCCGATGAGGAACGGCGACCTCCACGCCCGAGAGATCGCACGGATGTCCCTATCATTACGGGAAGCCGTCACCTCATTCACGATCCGACACAAACCGGACCAACAGCTCAAAGTTCGCATAGGAATCCATTCCGGGCCAGTAGTGGCCGGCATAGTAGGCCTCAAAATGCCCCGGTATTGCCTGTTTGGTGAGTCTCGGTGGACATTCCTATGCCATACCGTACAGTATATTAGTTTTTCAGTGAAGTTATTGTGTGTTTGTCTGAACCCATAGGCGATACAGTGAACTGCGCGTCTCGGCTCGAGTCGACGGGTTTGCGTAAGTGTCTGTCCCAAGTGTCTGTCCCATCGATTCGCACAAACCATTCAATTACTATTGATTTGAAAACTCATTATTTAATTATGTGTTTAACTAAAAGCTTTGAAGATTCACGTGAGTTCAGCCACAAAACAAATATTAGATAAGTTTGGGAATGACTTCAAATTGGAGTTAAGAGGCGAAGTGGACATTCGGGTTCGTTATCATTATTTCTATACAATCATGTGCTAGGTCACTGCATTCAAGTGCACTCCTACCATACAGTCTGTTATATTAAAGACTATACATCTGTGACAGTGTAGTATGTCTTGTATAAATAAATTGTGCCAATTATAGTGTTTAATCAATTTTATACCATTTGTGCGGTAGACAAGAATATTCTGCTATCTGTAAGAATAATCGGAATATTCTGTGCGATAATTGAATATTTTATTTGTAAAGGTTAAAGTTTTAACATTCAGTGAGCTAGCTCCGATCAGTTCAAAATGTTTTTTGTAGTAATGGTGTTATAAATTTAGAAAAGCCATTAAATAGACCAAACTATAGGATGTTGAAATTGTTATGGTTTTAATGATGCTATTAATAAATATTAATGTTTTTATTGCTTTTCAACTTATAACTTGTAGAGATAAACTGTATAAATATTGAAAAACTTGTCTAGAAATCAATCTGTATTAAAAATGTACAAAATAATGCTACATTCACGATTTAATGTGATTATAGAGAGATTATGCAGTAATGTATAAATATGAATAGATAAATTTTTTTCATACAAATACAGTAATCTTATGCTTATGAATGAGGCATTACTGTATATTGATTGCAAATTAAAATTGGCTGTTCACCAAGGCGTTAATAATATTTGAAAATATCAATTCTAATAGATTATTTACAGAATATATACACCAGAATAATAGTTATAGCAATAATAATCAAATAGTAATACTGTATAAAACAAAATAAAATAAATTAAAATCTGAAAATAATGTGTATTAATAATACAATATTACTAAATACAAGAATTTAAAATTAAAATGGTTTGAACAGAGTATTAAATTGAATAAAAATTATTTTCTAAATATTATTTTATAGGGAAGAGGATCACTGACTACATACTGGTTGCTGGAGGAGACGGACACAAAGGGAACGGCACTCAATCCGATACAGACACCACTCGTTAGAAATAATCCCCTCATTTCAATACAGGACACATAAGTTTGCACTCAATTAATAGGACAGTCACTAATTTGTAACCATCGGACACATGCCTTCAAAATAAGTATTTTAATTTTTAAAGAATTGTACAAACAATGGAAATTCTATGAAAACTGAGCAAGCTAACACTTATACAATATAAGTGATTCAATAATTACTATCCCTTCATAACACATCAACTATTTACTATAAAATGAATGAAAATTTTATATATTTTTAATTTATACTATTTATATCACACATCATCTTAATCAAAAATTATTGACTGTCCTATTAATTGAGTGCAATTAGGGTGACATCAAGTGTGATTGCTAAAATATTTTGAGTGCACTATCCAATTCTTAGTATAGAATCCGTAAATAATTTTAAAAAATATAATATAGGTTACAATAACTTTGTTAAATTAGTATTAAAACTAAAGTTGGATAAGTGGTGAAAGCATAGTAAGTAATGCGTGAAAAATTGGTGCTTAATACTGAATATGCAATGTGACAGTTATTTGAAAAATCACTTCACCTGATCCAATAGTGATTTGCAAATTTTAAAACCCTACTTAACCTTTATCGTATATTGCAGAATATGGATATTTCAAAATATTTTAGATTGACTACTTGATGGACTATTTTGGGATTAATGTAATAATGTTTTACTTTTTTGGCACAAATTATCTACAGTATTACGTTAAGCATTTGTGTAAATTGCATATCAACACTAAGTTTATTAAGTTATGAAACATCAACAACAGTAAATTACTATATAATATTATTATATAAAGGATTTAAATCTGTTACAATGATCAATTTATGATTCCAAAGGTTTTCCATTACTAATCAGATTAGACTAATATAGGTTATAAATATTCTGTACA